CTCAGCTTACAACGCGCATTGTGGAAACTAACCATACTTTCGATCTTAAGGGAACAACCATCTAAGTCCGGGGCAACTCAAATGCGGAACGGCTAGCACTTGAGGCGTATAACTCAGATGTCAACTCCGTTAATAGGCCTTCCGATCTTCCTGCAGTTTATTAAGTATTGTGTCATTACGTATACGAAGCTCAGCGCAAGACGGCCACGCAGAACGCAAGAAAGCCGCACAGACACGATCCGAGGACGGACCCACCCGAACTCAGTGTTCCTGAAGACCCTTCTGTAATGCTACTATCAGAGAGGACTCATCAAGAGTTGTTCGCAAGTGAGCCAACCAGTAACTGGCTAGCGAACGAACTAATAAAACGACATTAACAATATCCCAGCTGTATCCGCCTCCGTTTCTGAGCATGGTAAACCAACACAAGAATTTGAAAAACTTCTCTCCACCATGATTTGCTTATTGTTTTCAGTGAAGCAGATGATCGAATAGTGCGTAACAAATTTCACAGTGGCCATTACGGTCTTTGCTGTCACTTTACCCTGAAAAACTATTATATTCTGTGCATAAGTGCTCTCAGCATTTTTGATGACATCTGTTAACTTGAATTACAAAAAATGGCTTTGCAAACAGTCAGCTCAGTGTTTTAAACTGAGTGACAGCAGATTGAGACTTGATGACCGAACCGGCTAGGTCTTCTGATGGGACTATAGTCTGATCAGCAAGTCTGAAGTTGCATTTTAGCCGAACCTAGACCTTGCTCGAGAGCCAGCGATGATTGAAAGTTGTGGCAACCTGACATAGCAGAGGGTCTGAAACACGAAAGCGTTTCAGAGTCCGTACTGAAGAGTGCAGCAGCGCAAGGCCGTTATTCAGGGCTGCGGCCCAGAAGAAGGTCAATGGAAGTAATGGACTCACTAGGAGAAGCCATACTGACCGCAGCACCAAATATACCCTGTAGTCAACTGCATAAAATTATGGAAATATCCACTACCCAAGGCTGCAAGAACGACTAGAACAGAATGTGCACATGCAGATAGGTTCAAATGACGACGGTAATTAAAAAATACACTAACAACGCATCTGACAGATGCTTTGTAGGCGACTTGGCAAGAGTTGAGAGTTGGTAGGAACACTTCGAATGACTTCTCAAGGGTCATGTTCAATCAAGCATTTCCAGTTAGGCATCAACGCCGAATTCAAACTAAAATCATGAAGCGAACGACGAGGAACGTGGAAAAACTGGCCCCCAGCATTTTTTCCTCCGTGGTTTTAAATTTCCTATAAATATTCCTGTATCGGATGCAACCTGTTTTAGTCGAGACGAAGTAGGTGTAATTCAATCAGAGGATAGTTCCCAAGCAATGGTAGTCAATCACTTGAAACTATCCCTGGCTTTCCAAGCATTTACAACCTGCAAGAATACTGACGGTACGGATACTCGATGCACATGGATTGTGTGGACGATCAAGATAATACGAAGAACACATAGGTAATTTCAAAGACTGGGAACAACTGGACCAGCAGCATCGATTCGAGTGACAATATCTGTCTAACTTTGACAGATTTTCAACTCTGTTACGGAGCACTTGAAGCCACCTTCTTCTCCAGACCGATAACTATCCATTATCATGGATGTCCTCTTAGTCAGAGGTATCACCCAGGGCATTCGATAAATTTATGGAAAAACGGAGTAGTCTAATGAGTTTTTTTTACCTAAGACGTTAAATAACGTATAGAAGTATAGCGTGGGGTTCGTGGGGCGATGTTGCAAGCGTAAAAGCAATCAGTCAGGTGAGGTCCTCGTGCAAAACAGAGGTCGGCAAAACCGAGTGGCACCCCTCCAAAAACCCAGTGATAACGTACAATAACAGAATGGATGAAAGGATGCAAGCCTATCAGACGCCATACCGAATATTGAATGGTTGAGAGACTGTTAAGGAGCAGAGATTTTTTTTACTGAAGGAGCTATAACTGGCCTTGATAACGAGTGTTTTTGGTGGTATAATCTGTCCCTATTATCTATTAGAGGACGGCCTTCGGTTACTGGTGCCCATACGGACCTCCAAAATACGCTAAAGTGAAAATACTTTCAGTCACATAGACTTTCAAACCGTCTGGGAATGACCGCGCCCAAGAACTTCGTAGGTGTCTTCATCGCATCGGCGGACAGTTAGTAAAATGCTCCTTCGGGCCTTCGTATGCCACCTACCCAATGACGGGATACTAAACAAGAAAGGTATGATTCCGCGCTCTTGAAAGGGCAATCGCGATACCCAGCCAATCAAAGGGGTCGCTCGGGGAGGTGGAGCTAACTTTTAGGATATTGATTCTCCGACGGTCTGAGTATCGAATTAACATCTCCAGCATCTGATAAGAAGGATAAGTCTCCTATGCAGTTCTGTTTGCGCACTGATCCCGCACATCATTGAAACAGAACTGCGAACGAGCGTTGATCACCATGACCACTTTAGCAGGGGCCGCATTGGTGTTTCAGCATATTGTGTGACGTTTGCTGGGAGTTTTGGGTGGAAACGGGTCCCTAACAGCTACGACAACAGCAATTTGTTTAAGATTGTCTCTTCTGACGCTTTGGCTTACTTATCTGACCAAAAGTGTGGGGTGCAAAGCTACTTTATTCAAAATCCGTACGCGGGGCCAAATAACAATGAGGTTATCGCATTTTTCGGTTGCCCGTGTAAACCACACAGTGAAGAACGAATAACGTGGAATTTTCCACCAATGTCAGTAGAAAGTTGACTAGTTTTATAAAGAATACGGGAGAGTTACTTGCTACATTAATTTGTCAGAAAATTAGGCAGTCTTTCAACTTTATGCCTAAAAGAACGGTGTCTTTTGGTTTAACCGATTGCAATTACGAGCATTTTGGATTTGATATATTTTTCCCTGTAGTTTTTATATCCTCATGAATGTAGATTCTACTTTTGGACGAGCTAATATGGTCCACCTATATTAGAAAGTTCTATGAGTATAATTAAACCTTTTTACAATTTCTTTCACAGATATAGTTTCGCTTCGCGCAAAGCACACGACATGTACGTTGTGTATAACTTGTGACTATGCACGACATAGACCAGCTTCAATGAAATTGCACATAAGGCCTATAAATGCGTTGCCATGTGTCTGCAATTCTAGTGACTTCGACGTACTCTGTGCTGTAACAGTGAAGAACAAGCACTGAGGGGCTACAAAACAAGAGGTATCTTCAAGACATGAAACGAGTCAATCTTGGTGGCTGGTAGGCTACTTATTGCAACCTCACTGCATCAATCGTAATAATAAAGTTGACTTGCTTTGAAATTATCCAAAAACCTAACATCATGGGTTGCAAGGCCGCAACCGACGGGCTACCTCGGTTCTCTGAGAACAGAGCGGCGGGCTACAACGGCTCTCTCTTAATATGGTCTTTAAGGCCGCCCTTCCCTGTTTTGATGAAGGATTATTCCATTGCGCACGGACCAGGTCATGTGGGCCACATACTGTTAAGCCTCTGCGCCCCACACCACCTTCGGTCGTCTTGTGAAAGAGATGAGTGTTGCAGATGTTACTATCACTAGACTAACTTA